GCTCAATTTGGTATTTGGGGGTACAGGGTTATATGCCCTTTGAAGAGCAGGTGTTCCCAAGGTATGCCAATCAACTCTGATTGCTCAAAACCCTAGGAGGTGGGTTATATTAAAATGAGGTCTTGAATATAGTACTTAGGTCACTTAATCTAGATCAACAGGGGCTGGTATCACCCACCATGCGAACAGAGGAAATACCACCCCCAGTCTTGGGAATTGATCTCCACCCAGACCTGAGTAAGATAAAACCAATTCAGGCATGGGTTGGAGTTTGACCAAGATAAGATTCGATGCAACTTTGTTATCAGTAAAAAGTTCTGAAGAACTTTGGGCTGGGGAGAGGGCTGGGAGCTCTGAGTCTCCAAAACACAGATTACGAAGAGAAATCATTTTTCGCAAGCTGCATGATTGAACCTTAGGATACCCACTCACTTATTCATATTAGGAGGGGAACCACCCAGGGTCTCTGCCAGGCACTGCTGAGAAGCCTCATTCTGAACCCACAGATCACATTGATCTTCTAGTCTGGCCCAGATAACTGGTAATTCTTAGAGCCCCAGGGGACTCTCAAATCTAGTTGCTTCAGACTCCAGGGATGCTTACGCCATACATGATGTCTGGAAACAGTAAAAGAAAATTGATTTTTTGAAATCAGCGTTGGTGCAGGGCAGTTGATGGTGCAGTGGATAAAGTGCTGGGACTGAAGTCAGGAAGACTCATCTTCCTGAGCTCGAATTCAGCCTCAGACACTTACAAGCTGTCTGACCCTGGACTTAACCCTATTTGCCTCAGTTTCCTCATCTGTAAAATGATCTGGAGAAGGAAATGGCAAACCACACCAGCATATTTGCCAAGAAAATCCCAAATGGGGTCACAAAAAGTTGGATGGGACTGAAAAACAACTGAACAATTGTCTTCTTGGGTCTCTGTAGAGGACTGCATTTATAAATCTCTGCAGTTTGAACATTTTTACTTTCTTTGTTAACAAAATTAACCAGGTGTAAGTCTGTAGGTTTAAAAATACATTTGTTTTTAACCCAAATAAAATCTAAAACTAGCTGCCACTCTATTTTTTTTTCTTTGTGAAGGACACTAACATTAGGAAGACTACACTGGTCTTAGAGTCATCTCCAATGTTTACCCCTGTGTAACTCTGGGAAAATCACTGAGTCTCAGTTTCTTCATCTATCAAATGGGATGAGACATAATACATTTATTATTATTATTATTGTTGTTGTTGTTATTGTTATTATTATACTATATTATAGAAATGATTATTTTATTCCATATATTAAAAATAAAATAAATAGGAAAAATTTTTTAAAGGATTATTATGAAGAAAGAAATTTATCACCCACTTATTTATGGATGAGGATAGATAAGTGGAAAATTTTATTTCCAAGGTACTCCATGCAGTGGGGTAAATGTAGGGCTTCAATGAGATACTGAGGCTGTGTTCACTTCACTCCCCATTTTATAGATGAGGAAGGAGGTTGACAGAGTTTAAGAAACTTGCCCAAGATCACATAGCTACAGACTTCTCTGCTGACTGGATTTTCTCCCTCCTTAATAGCAGCCTTCTATCCTTGTCCCTGCTCCCCACCCTTTTCTAGCTCCCTTTTATGTGTTATCTTTCCCCCATTAGAAAGGAAACTCCTCAGGCTGGAACTGGCTTATGTTTGTATCCCCAGTGCTTAGCATAGTGCCTGGCACATAGTAAATGCTTATAGATGCTTTATCTATCTGAATGTCTATGGATGGAGAAAAGAAACTCAATTCTTACTCTCAATCAATTCTTACACCTGTCAAGTTCATTTTCTCAGTGCCTACTCTTTGCATATTTCAGAAAATAAGGTAACACATCTTGGAGATTTTGTGCTATCACCAGCTCTTTTTGTTTTTGTTCTTAAAATGTCGTCTTCTTTTTATTGATTTTGTTGTTATTGTTCAGTCATTTTTTCAGTCCTGTACAACTTTGTGACCCCATTTTGGGAGTTTTCTTAATAAAGATACTGGAGTGGTTTGCCATTTCCTTCTTCAGCTCATTTTGTAGATGAGGAAACTGAGGCAGGGGCAAGTGACTTGCCCAGGGCTACACTGCTAGTAAATGTCTGAGACCAGATTTAAACTCAGGAAGATGAGTCTTCCTGACTCTAAGCCTGGCATTCCATCCACTGGACCACTTAGCTGCCCCTTTTATTGATACAGTTAGCTTTTGTATTTCCATTTCTGAATATATGTCCAGCAAACCATCCTTTAGAACAAAGATTTTTGAAAGCATTTGCACTATTCCACACCCATAGTCCCATACCGCTTCAAGAAAAGAAGGGAGAGAGATACATTTTCTTTTTTTTTAAATTAACTTATTTTAAACTTAAATACACAATAAGAAAGGAAGAAGAAACATTATATATTTATATATTAGAACTTAAATACAAAATAAGAAAAGAAAAAAAAGCATTGCCATATGTACAGCCAAATATAGGAGGATTCAAAATATACAGCAATAAATCTCCATTTCAAGAAAACCTATATAATAAATCCTGTCTTTGCTTTCTTTTAAGTTTTCTTTTGTTCTCTGCCATGTACTTTTGACTTTGTTCTTTTTTTCCCCTTTCTTCCCTCCCTCCCCAAAGGTTACAATTAAGTGCAGATATATACATACACATGCATATATACATATACATTCATGTACACACATATGTATGCATATATGCATACATATGCATACATATGTACACATTTACACACAAAGAGACATATACATGTATATACACATACATATATACACTTACATACACATACATATACTTAGATTTTTATAATCATACTCATATAGAGACATATACATTAATATTCATCTATGTAAGACCGTACTATACTTATTAGTCCTTTGTTTCTCTGAGGATAAATAACTTCTTCATAAGTCCTAGTCTTTCCGTATTTTTCTAAGTTCACCAACTCATCATTTCCTATACCACAGCAATATTCCAACCTTATACTGTCTAGTTATTTTAAATAGTCTAAAACAATATTGATTAACATGGCTGATATATAGAGTAGTATAGAGAGGTACATTTTCTTAACTCTTCTTTGAGGCTAAGCATGATCATCGTGATTATAAAACATTCAGTTTCATTTTTTTATTGTTCTTTCTGCCTCCGTTGTTGTTGTAGCTGTTATGTATGTTGTTTTCCTGGTTCTGATTCCATCGCGCTGAATCAGTTCATGCAAATCTTCCTGTTACTTCCTGTATTCACTATATTCATTGTTTCTTACAACACAGGAATGTTCCTATACCACATTCATGTACCACAATTTGCTTAGCTATTTCCCAGTGGCCATCTACTTTGCTTGCAGTTTTTTTGTTACTACAAAAAGGCTTTCTATAAATAACTAGGTGAATATAGAGCTTTGCTTTCTATCTTTGACCTCCTTGGACTATATACCCACCAGTGGGATCTCTAGGGCTAAGGATATGAATACTTTAGTCTCTCTTTTTTTTTTAGCATAAATGCAAATCACCATTAACTCATTATTGATTCTGGGGTTTTGGCAGCAGAAGGGAACCTCTGGTGTCTTACCCAAATGGGTCACTTTCTAAAGACCAGTTTTAAGTTTAAATCCTAGTCGACAAACTCCCAGAGGAGTGTCTGTTAATCTCATTTTCCCTAAATGGCGTTGAGGTATCTAAAAATGTTTTTAGGGTATTTGTATATGTTAGAAGAGAGAGGAAGAGAGAGAGGGAGAAAAAGAGTGAGAAAGGGAGGGAGAGAGAGGAAGAAAAAGGAGGAGAAGAGAGACAGAGAGAAAGACAGAGAGAGAGGGAGAGAGAGAAGAAGGGAGGGAGAGGGG